TCGCGGCTTCCGTACATCGTACAAACACCCTTGGACTGAGAGACAGACCGAAGGGGAGTACTCTGTATTCATAACAGATCCCCTGAAATGCGAATCTCAGATATTTCCTGTGTGGGTAATATACTGGGATGTGAAAATAATACGCATCTTTCAGGTCGACTGATGTAAACCAGTCGTCTTGTCGCACGAGCCGCAGCAGAGATGTGTGAGTGAGCATTCTGAACTTATATCTTTTTAGATATTTGTTCAAGTCAAGTATTGGCCGAATTCCGTTCCCTCCCCGTTTGGGAACGAGGAAGTACTTGGAATAGAAGCCGCCCTGACTCTGCTCGGCGGGTACAATAGATATAACCCATCTTTTCTAGGAATGAGAGAATCTCTCTCTCCAGAATATGGGCTGACTCTCCTCGGGCCTGCGAATGCAGAATGTCCGAGAAGCGAGGGGGGGTGACAGCGAATTGGAGTATGTAGCCCCGTGTTACTGTCTTGAAAACCCAAGCAGATGATGTGAGCATCTTCCACTGCATGCTCCTTAGAGCCAGTGGAGATGTCACGTCTCTTCCCCTCTGAGTCTCTATTTGTTGTGTTATGGGGCCCTCAGGTGTCTGAACACAGTGGTGCCCCTTTTCGACAATCCCCACCGACACTGCGCATGCGCATGACGGTGGTGCCTTCACAACCCCAGCCGGCACTGCGCATGCGCGTGGCGGTGGTGCCTTTAAAGCCCCAGCCGGCACTGCGCATGCGCGTGACGGTGGTGCCTTCACAGCTGCTCTCAGAAGGGGAACAGTTAACGGGCTGTTTATTGGTTTTATTGTTTTTCTTATCATTTTTTTGAGCTGCGCCCTCGGCCTGAAGCCTGGATGCGTCAGCGGCAAATGTTTTATGACAGAAAAATCAACAAATTTGTGACATGTGTTTGTGCGGACTTGAGGATGGTGTTAAGGCATCTCTCGAGGCGGCGGGAACACATTTAGAGCTGGGGAACCGTGGACTTCCAGCTCTGTCACGGAGGGGAGAAGGAGGGGCTGTCAGGCCGCTCGCTTCTTCTTCCTCGACTGCTGGCCGAAATTCTGGGTTGGCTGCGCCTGAGCTGCAGCCGGAACCGGAGATTTTCTAGGCCAGCTCGCCCTCGTCTCCAGCCTGGGCTGGGGACTCGGGGCGGGCTTTTCTTCACGACCCCAGCCGGCATTGCGCATGCGCGTGACGGTGGTGCCTTTACAGCCCCAGCCGGCACTGCGCATGCGCGTGACGGTGGTGCCTTCACAGACCCGTCAATTGTCCGCCCTTTGAGAGAGGCCGTAGCTGCTCTCAAAAGGGGAACAGTTGACGGACTGTTTATTGTTTTTATTGTTTTTCTTTTCATTTTTGAGCTGCGCCCTTGGCTCGAAGCCTGGATGCGTCAGCGGAAAATGTTTTATGACAGAAAAATCAATAAGTGTGTGACATGTGTTTACGCGGACTTGAGGATGGTGTTGAGGCATCTCTCGAGGCGGCGGGAACACATTTAGAGCTGGGGAACCGTACTTCCAGCTCTGTCACAGAGGGGAGAAGGAGGGGCTGTCACGCCGCTCGCTTCTTCTTCCTCGACTGCTGGCCGAAATTCTGGGTTGGCTGCGCCTGGGCTGCAGCCGGAACCGGAGATTTTCTAGGCCAGCTCGCCCTCGTCCCCTGCCTGGGCTGGGGACTCGGGGCGGACTGCGACCTCTGCGTTTTCGGTATTTTGAACCGAGCAGGGTTCGGAGCAGCTTGGACGAAGGGCTGCCGCTGCGAAGGGCTGCCGCTGCGAAGGCAGCGGCTGGGCCCTTCGAGGGAGGCAGAGGTGGAGGGCCTCGTCCTCCTTCTTTTTCGACTCGCATCTCCTCTGCATGGAGGCAAGAGCGGAGCCGAAAATCCCCTCGGGAACGATGGGCATGTCAATCACATCCTCCTTTTCCCGGTCTGGGAGGTTGGTGAGGTTGAGCCATCTAGCTCTTTCCTGCACCACCATGATCCCCATTGTTTTGCCCGTGGCCTGGACGGCGCAGCGTTGGACACGGAGACAAATGTCTGTGACCGCGGCCAACTCATCCAGAACGGCCGGTCCAGGATTACTCAACATATCCTCACAGAGCTCCGCTTGGTATGCGGTTAGCAGTGAGGAAACGTTCAGAGCCCTGGCGGACAACGCTGCGGCTCTGTAGGACCGTTCAGTCATGGTCGACTGGAAACGGTCCACCTTCGCTGGCAGCGTGGGGTTCCTGCTTGGTGACGGGCCCATCCTCGGTAGGAGGTGGGCTGCCACCAGCAGTTCCATCGGCGGTATGCGGAGCAGGCCGAGCCTCTGCGGGCGAGACCATGGTGAGGTCTCGCCGGGAGCTCCCGCCTGGTGAGGCGTGGGGCTCCGTTCCCGCGTCTCTTGCCGCCACCGGGTCCCGGCCTGAACGGCGTGGGATCCCGGTTCCGCAGCTGCCACTGTTAGTGAGCCCCAGACCGACACAGTGAGGGGCTCAGTCTCTGCGGCGGACGCCCCCGTGTCTTGATTGCCAAACGGCGAATCAGTGGACATGAGGGAGTCCTGTTCCAACAAGCTAGCTTGGTGTGCTAGCCGTCGGTGGAGGCTCTTTCGGGTGAAAAGGGCACAATGCCCGCACGAGCCGGGGTTGTCGATAGCCTCCTGGGCGTGTTCCAGCCCGAGGCAGGACGAGCAGACCTGGTATGAGTCTGTGCCTGCTATCTTCAACCCGCAGCCGCATGACCGAGCCTCCGAGTCCCTGACTCCTCTGGTGTGAGGGGGAGAGGCGTCCATCTTGTTCGCCTCGTGGCGTGGAGAGGACCCGCTCGTAACAGGTACGTCGTTGAGAGAAAAAGTGTTTACCAACCCGTCCTTAATCCGGAGAAAAAGGGACGGTGTGGGTCCTTTGTTCTCAAAGAATATTGACTGGTGTATCAATATACTTCTAATCCTTTTCTCCTCCGTGAGAGAGAAAAAGAAAAGCGTCCTCGCTACCGTGGTGTCGGTAGTAAGGGGAAGCTAGCTAGCAACAGGTGCGTAGCTAGCTTGAGAAAAATCAAAACCTTACCTTACTTTCCGGGGAAAGAACGGCGAGGTCGATTTTAATACTAACTGGCGTTAGTATTACCGTCTTCTTGCGAAGCAGAAGGAGTAGCCGGCGAGCGCCCGTCAACCGAAATGGCTATATTTGGGTTCAGTCTGTGGACCGTTAAGCATGTCCGGCTACTATAGAGATGTGCTCTGAAGCGAGAAGAGGTGTTTGAATGGTGCATGCGTCGTGGCGCAAGCTACTTATAGGGGGTGAATTCCCTGATGCTGACGTCAAGATCACCAGCCAATCAGGATTGGCGTAATGAGATTGATGCTTCTGTTTGCTCCGCGATGAGGCACATCCCATAGTGAGACATCGAACGGATTGTTATGAATGAGAACTTGGTTGTTGAGTGTCCCAAGTGCAAAGCTACACACAGTCTTGTAAATGTATATGGTACATTTATTTGGAGCATCCTATTGAAATGTCCTTGGTTTGGCACCGTTGCTGAACTCTATTGCATTTCAATCGAATTATCCTAAAAGCTTTCCCTCTTTCCTTTTTGAAAAACCTATGCTTTTAGTTCAAGGATAGCCTGGAACGACAGAACCATTTTTCTTTGAAAATAAAGTATCTCTGGGGAACTAATCATTCATTTTCATCAGCCATATAACAATGTTTTCCCCTTTAGGAATATCATATCTAATTTGTAAATAAATGATAAATGTATTAAAATGCATACACTTGTTGCAGTGTAGATGTACATGTTTGTGAACATTAACCCTTTCAGAGTGTGTTTTTACTTCATCATGGTTCAATCGTCACAAAGAAGTCTCTTTTGTAGCCTCCATACTTGCTCTTCCCTCTCTGACCTCTGCAGGTTTCAAAAAACAAGATGGCAGCTTCCAAACGATAGTCCACAAACCAATGGGTGACGGACAGCAATGATGGCAGATAATATGATAATTTGTCATCTTTAATATCATCTCTGTATAAAGATGACATTGTTTTGTTATAAACTGCTCTTAAAGCAGCACATTGTGATAATCTACAATGGTAATATTGAATGCTAAATACAGCCTTTTATGTAAAGCAGATACAAATAATTCCACTTCCCTGTTTATCACAAACAACAGAGCAATGATTTATAGGAATAATTGTCAGTACAATTGCACTTATCATTGGAAATGTGTGCAGTAGGGGGCACTGCTACTTTAACCAAACTTGCATTTAGAGAAGATCTGACCCACCTGACCCACCCTGTGTTAAATCCTCAGTGTTCAATCAGGGTTACAATCGATAGCGTCTCCTCACTGAAGAGTGAGGATGTCTCTTTGCAAAATTAAAAGATCTCATGATCCATTGAACACTTTGTAAGCATTTCTTATGTTAAAGTAAGTAGATTTTCTTATAAATGGCGACCAAAATAAAATAGCCCCATTAGATCAGTACTCTTAATTCCCCCTGACCGCAATTCTTTTTTGCAAACCATTCATGTAGCGGCTTACATATCCTCCCCACACGTCATCATGGCCGTTGTATTGTACACACATCAAGGACTTAGAACAGTCCTGCTCTGATGCTTGTACCAGCATACCTTTTAGTCATTGAAGTGCAGCACAGACAAAAGCAGGGCTTGATTGAGTGGATGGGTAGGTGGGCAGAACTGTTAGGTCTGCATGATGGGAAAATAAATACTGAATCCGTTGGTGATGAATGCCACTGCCTTACAGGATGTGAATCCTTGAGCCCAAACACTTGGCTGGGCCAAGGAAGGACATATTTGTTATCAGCAAACTTCAGAGACAGGATAACATTCATGGGGAGAATCTTCTATAGAGTTAAGATAAAGTATTTTGGCATGCTTTGACCAAACCACTAGACTAAAATTAGCTGGCTCATAGGATTTGGTGTAGCGTATTTGTGTGCAGAATAATAGTTTCTAGAATATAAAATGGTACAAACAAGCCTTGCTCTTCTTATTAAATATAGCCTTTTAATGAGAAATAGATTATTATATGAAACATTCATTTGAAATAAGCTGATATAGTGATCTCAACAGAACAGCAAAAAAGTACATCAGCAAGGTATTAGTTGTAAACATCTTCAGACATATCCATGGACACATGTAAGCAACACTGTGGTAGCATAACGCCATACGAGTAAATGTGCTTGTTTCATGGACTTTGCAGTGGCTCAAAACTAAATATTTATGTACAGTATGCTTTGACAATATAAAACAGTCGTACATTGTCATGAATCTAATTAGATACAGAAGACATGGGGGCCCTGTACTTTGTGCTGATGTACTCAAATAGAGTTTTTTTTTTAAGTAGTCTTTATATTCCTTTTATTTACTCTTATATTTTATTATATTGTTACTGTAGCAGAGGGTTGTTACTGTAACAGAGTTCATATTTACAGATATATTGTACAACAGGGGACAAAGACAAAATCAACCATAACTTATAAAAGTCATCCTTGACTGGTCTGGTGGCTGATTTCCCCACATGCACAAACTTCCTTGAAGGCGAAGTTCTCAAGAGGATATGGAAAGTGTATATTAGATCAACATTTACGGTCTCAAATCCTTAAGCTAATTCAGTGTCATTTGTCTGTGTTACATCTAAAAGGTTCCTCCAGCTCTAAATGTGTTAAAGGGATAGATAACAGGCACTTATAATAATCATAATAATAACTAACAACTCATTTGGATGGTCCAATGTTAGTGCTGAAAAATAAAGTCCACTATTTACTGCATCCCTATTGACTGCAGGCTTGTTAGGCTTAGCTTCAGTATGTTTAAATCAACTCCACAGTACGTTCGCTTAAATGAATCCACAAGGAGGTACCGTTAGCATGCAAATGTTACATTGGCAATGCTATAGATGCTAACATATTTGAGAAAGTGTAAAGTCTATCATGTTAACATCAGCATGCTAATAAGCTGGGCTTGATAAACTAAAATACCAAGCAGCTTTGAGACAGCTTGCAGTTACCATCCACACCCAGGCGGACATACTGATCACGATACAGTTTATTAAACTGGAGGTTAAACCGGTCCAATGCCCTCTCTGCTCCTGCTGTTTCTTATCTGATTGATTAAAGTATTGTACTGTGAGATTCATTTGAACCTGACCTGGCCACCACATTTGCAATAACCACTATATTGGATATAGAAAAATGATTTTGCTGACTACTGAATCTCCTGAAATGTATTACATTTGTAGTGACTTAATAAGTGACTAAACTGTTATTTATAAAGCACATCTCAAGAGTTAAAAATGCTTCACAAAAAGACTGAAAACAGTCAATTAAAACATAAGGATCATCATGGCCACACACAGAAATACATGGTTCTGTTACTTACATCATGACAGAAATGCACATTTACAGGCAACTATAACAGTTGTCGATGCAGTAAAGTCTTCAGCTGACAAAGCTACCTATCATGGATGTTTCCAGTATTGTAAAATGCCTCTGCTTACAGCTAACCACACAAGACTAGTCTCATCACAATGTAAAATTAAAATGGGTATTTTAAAGAACACAAAATGAAACACAACAAAAGTACCAAAGCAACCAAACTAAAGCTACATCCATTGACTAACAGACATACAAAATAAACAATAAAATAATTTGTAATATAACAGTATGCATTTTTAGATGTTAGTCTTGCAACTTGTCTGGCAGCTTTTAAACCTGGAGATGTTTGAGAGCCATGACAGCAGCGACTTAATGTCTGCTTTTTTATTTTTAAGTTGAACCCATCAATGACCAGGACAGCAAGGTTTTATGACACGAGTGACCTTGCCTTTGTTGTTGTTAATAGCAGGTTAACGGATTGGACTTACACAAAGTCATAAGCAATATGATTCAGCATCGGATTACCCAAATAACATGTGACCAAACATTACATCGGTAGTGTTTCATATTTCAATTTGACGATTGAATGTTAAACACAGTCAGAGCTCTGTTGATGTTTCCCGCAACATGCAAAACAAAAACATCTGAAATGTGTACACGAGGTCATTAAACGCTTACAGATGAAACACTGCCAAAAAGGTATTTTAAGATTTAATTTAACAATTTCTTTTTTTTCTTTTTCTTCTTCCTGTGGCACAACAGAGCAATTCAATGGCTTTACAACATGACCCTTATTCAACATAATATGCTTCCTCCTGTCATCTCCCTTTTGCTGTGCTCTTGTCTACAAACTGATAAAATAAAAACATACAAACCAAACATTTCCTTAAATGTATGTTCTTTTGAGAACGGGGATGGACTTAATGTCTACCTCAGGGAAGTGTATGGCTTTAGGTCGTCTTGCAAATGTGCCTGAATGATGAATGTTTACATTTTGCTCTTGGTGCGGAAAAGCTCCACGAATCAGCAGTCACAACATGTACATTTTGCAAAGCTGTACAAAATAGCATTGATTGTTAAATCTTCAGACCACAATATTGCACTCACGCACCAGGAGGTACTGCCTTGTGAAAAACACAGCTTGAATTTCAAACACGGGAAGAAGCGCTCCAAATGCAAGATTTTGCTTAGACTGGAGTCAATCTCAAATGACACATTCAATTAACGAACAGCAATAAGCATCAAGCCAAAATAAGGTATACGCACATTTGCACACGCGCACGCAAACATACATTCATCCACATATATATGTATATATAAACAGCTGGCTTTTGTTATTTGACATGACTATCCATTACTGCCCTGCTGTGTGCCTTACGTATCAGAGCAATGACAGAGTGCCTCATAACTCACAATGCAGATTTGCTGTGGGTTTGAAATGTAATAAAGTCTATAAGTAATGTGTTGACTACTTAGTCACTAGGGCTATTTAATCCTTACCATGTATAAACATTTTTTAATATTAAACTCTCTGTAATGTCTGAAATACTTTGCACATTAGCTGAAATAAAAGGATATCTGGTCTGCCCTTGTGTTCCATTGTTATTCCTTTAAAAATGTTTTTGTCAGTAAAGAATGGCAGTTTCAGATAAAACCTTTGATCCCTCGGAGTAAAATCAAGGCCTCTTTTTCACCAGTACATAGATTTAATATTTCTTTTTTTTCTTCTTTTTTTTTTAGATCTTTTTAGGGAATGACAGACATGCTGGGACAAATATGATACAGTCTTTATAGTGGTTCCATTAATCTTCTTTATCTTAATCTGAAATGCTTTTCATCAGTGCCTTTTTCCTTTATCTCTTTAAGAATTATGCTTACAAAGTTAATATTACATCAAAAGGCAGAAAAGGTCCAAAAATGAAAAAAGAGAAAAAGAAAATTAAGATTAATATCCCCGCCTAGTTCATTTGTTGGGTGTTTCATGTTGCTGTCCTTCTGTGAATGTTACTATGTTCAGCAGAGTTTAGCAGTCAGATGATCTGATTGTTTTAGTATCTCTGTGCTGTACATGTCCAAGGCATGGTTCACTCGAATCATCTCGCTGTTGTTGAGCTTCAGCCTATGCTTGAGCATACAGGAGAAGAGGTCCAGCTGGGGTTTGCCAGGAGCAGATGGAGGGGCAAGGCGGTTAATCCGATCCCTTATGTCCAGCAACAGGAGCATGACCGATGAGGAGGAGTAGAACTGATTTCCCTGTGTGTACGACTGGTTAACCTGCTGCACAGCACTACGGAGCAGGTCGGCATTAAAGCGTAGGCTGTAGCCAAACACTTGGATATCAGATATTTTGATGTAGATCTGACGCTTGTTAGGATCTCCAAGATCCACTGGACCCTGTCCCGTGTCATTGCGTAAGCCAGTTGGGATCTTAGCGCGGCTACGCAGGTAGATGTGCACCGTCTCAAAGAAGGTCTTCCACCGGTTGCCCAGCAGGAGAGTCCAGTTGAAGCACTGCGAGTTTTGTAGTCGTACCTTTTCCCAGCGTGGGTATCCATGTTCCCCAAAGGGCATGCTCCAGCCTTCTGAGTGGCTACCACTGAAGGGGTTGACATAAACAAAGAACATGGGGTCAATGCTGCTATTTCTCATCTGGCAGATCTTCATCGACAGACCGATAATCATGTGGAGGTAGTCCATCCGGTTTTTGTTACTCTTCAGGGTCAGGGACATGCGCTTACGCCATCTTGGGTCAAAGAAGGTTTCTAGTCGGATCTCATTGCTGATGAAAGTCGTGTGAATGTAGAGTCGGGAATCCATTTTCTGCAACAGGTATTTGAGTTCCAGGTCCTGAAAGTCCAGATCAGTTTCAAAGCTGATGAACTGCTCGCTACGTTCTGAATCCACGTTCTGGGGCTCACAGCGGCCACGGTACAACTTATAGCCTTTGTTGCAGGAGCCACATTGTGAGATGTTGGCCAGGCTGCACATGGCGCAGCTGTTGTTGCCACCTATGACGCATGGGATGGGTCGTTGGCATAAGGTAACACCTGTGTGGCACACGCATGTCCTTTGGCTCTCCAGGAAGGTCCCCCAGAACCCGTTCTCATTACAGTAGAGGAAAGACTGAACCCTGTTCAACCACTGCATCACGGATCTAGAGAGAAAGGAGAAACAAAATATGGAGATAATCGTTAAAGGTCACATTTGAGAGCTTTAAGAGTTACCATATAAAGAAGACCTTTCATTCACTTATGTTCATTTTTATTATCAACAAATAAAGCTTGTGTTAAATTAGTTTCAATAGTTTGGTAATGCACTTGGAAGCATTACAAATAAAACCCCAAATTAAGTTAATTTGGATGCCTTACTTAAGCTTGTACTATGTAGTCAGTTCACATAACTTTACTGAAATCAATGGATGCCAATAGTTAGAAGGTATACAAGATACAGTGGCAAATCCAAAACTCAATGATATGCTTATTAAATGTTTGGCAGCAATGTATACATGAACACTATTGAGTCAGGATAGTATGGGAATAGGATCATTTATTCCCTTCAAGGGGGAGGAGTTGCGTTATTTCCCTCAGGTGGAAGGCATTACTTGCTATTCTTATCTTGTCTCTTATTTTCCCTTCAGGCATCTTTCCCTGTCATCTTGACAGCAATGGAACTTCTTTTCAGACTGTAGGAGGTGAATTCTGAATCTTGATTTTTCAGAGACGAGGTCTGGTCAAGGTTAACTTGACATGTTAATGAAGCCAAGGCTTAACTATGATGGATGGCATTGCATTCTCGGCAAGTCAGAAACCCCCCAAGCTTAACCCAAAATGAGCCCGGAACAAATCACCTATAGAGGATAATAGAAGCACATTGCTTGATTCCACTAACTTTGGCTCAAATTGAGGATGGCATGAAGTGAGGATGAACATTAAGGAAATGAAAACATCAACTTTCAACAAGCTTACTCAAAAGCAAACATGTCCTTAATTCTGCCCCACATAAAACATATATAATGTCAAGACATATTTTCTTTACAAACTGTAACCCATCGGATCATGTCACTGACTGGTTTCCTGTGTGTTTATCCCATTGGAGATGTGAAATGTACCTTGTGTGGAGAAGTTATTTCTTGACAGTGTTTGCTTATGTGCACTAGTGTTCTCATGTCTGGATTTGCCTCTTCCCCTAGAGATGAGGTGTCTTAATATCCTGGTGCAGGCAATGTATTTGTGATTTTTATATCACTTTCCATTTCCTCTCTGTCGTATTGCAGTGTTGCCTGGAGTGTCTTTAGAGAGATGAGTGTATCATGTTGGTTCCCTCCAGCGTGTGTTTGCTGTCCACTCCACTATGAATACAAAAGTAGCTACCTAGCAGAGATGTACTAATATACTGGTTTTACTGTTTTTTTGTGACACAATCTGATGGTAACAGATGTTATTTATCTAGCAAAATCTATTACCCTCATTACTGTGATTATAATTTATTGTGAAGGGCTCCAGTCTCACAGTTTTATTTTGATTAGCTCTGATGGAAGCAGAACAGGCACAGCAGGGTCAGCTAACTAGGCTTCACATCTTTCTGTCTCCAGGTTCTAGGTACTCTGGTTTATTAAATTGTATGTTTATATGAGCTAGTCCACCTACTGAAGCACTGCCAGTTTATGGGTACAGTTTACATAACTGACACATAGGAAACTAGCCTCTTTAAGATTCATTCAACATGTATTATCAGAGGTGAGCTTCATATGTGCAGGATGTTGGAAAAAAAATGTCATTCACAAGTAAAAACACCCAAAGACACCAAAGTGTGCACGAAAACGTGAATGAGGGTAATGCAAATTAAAATCGACAAATAGAAAGTTCTGCATTTAAAGATTAACTTGTCTAGTCCTAGTCTGTCTCTAACAGCTTTTATTGGCATTTTAAAACCTTTTTTTTTTTTTTTCATGTATTCTGCTTAATGACACATTTCAAAGTCAAAATCACTGTGGTGGAACTCATCACAGGAAAAAGTGACACAGACTAAAGGAATGAAGTTCAAAGACCAACAGCGCTGTATCTGGAGAACACACTTGTTGTGAACCCTTCAAAAACGAAACAACTTATCATAGACTTCAAGATAAACACTACACATCAACAAGGGCAGTATGGAAATCATTTCTGCTTTCAGGTTCTTTGCTTTGCACATTGGTAAAATCGCTCTTGGTCTACCAACACCATTACAGTAAAGGAGGCACAGCAGGGACTCCGCTTCCTGAGGATTTGAGCAAACCAGGAGAGACTGCTGGTAACCTTCCACTGCTGCCCCATCGAGAGTGTGCTGGCGTACTGTATCACTGACCTCATTGGAGGACTTATTCAGCCTATTCTGCCTTAGTAGAGCAGCCAACATACTGAAAGAGCCAGCCCACCCTGCGCACCATCTTTTTAATCTGCTTCCCTCTGGAAGATGCTTCAGCTCCATCAAATCATGGACACACAGATTCAAAAACAGCTTCTGCCACAGAGTCGTACGGGAACTGAACACTTTCAAACACTAACATTGACTGTTTTTCGACTTGTATACATTTTACATAAACTATTTATGCTATTATATTCATAAAGGTAATTCAACAAAGCTATAAATGGCACATAAAGCAATTCGCAATACATGCTATTTTATTGGCCACAAAAATTATCCTGTTGACATAACATGTGTTTATTCTAAAGAAAAACGTTAAGCTCGACAGGATAGGAAGCTAATGCCCACTGTATGTCTTTGTACTGTATAGGTAATTGGATCCTAATTTAAGAGATGGTATTTAAGATAACAGATTTATTTTTCAACAGTTAAAATGATTGTGAAACATTAGACATCTAATAATGCCAGATATACAAGACTTTTCAAAATGATCATTACAATTTGCATACAAAACACATTGATTATGTTGGCTTTAATGTAAAACTTATCCTATTATATTGTACTGGCTATGTATTATTGCATTAGACAAAGGGACATTCATAAAGTTCCCTCATTTGAATTTATTTGCAATAACTGTTAAAATATCCTGTTTGAATTACTGAAAGATATGCCTCCCTCAATAAGCTATTTGAGAGCATCATGTGGCTAGTCTAATTTATCTCTTATTTGTTTCTACAGCAATAGCTTTGTAAAGATTTGCCATAGAAATTTGAATGAAAATACATCCCAATGGATACTGTTTTGTTTGAATGAATTCAAGCACACTTTAGGTTTGTAATAATGCATCAAACAGGCCCTGGTGTTCAGGTGACAACTGTCATAGCCCCCCCCCCCTGCAGAGGACATCAGAGCATTAGAATGGAATCTGCCGCTGATCAAAGAAAACAGAAGCAAAATGTCCCACAGATGAAGCAAGCTAATACAACAATGTTATTAAAATGAGTACAGAGCCACAGTGGGAATTTAATCGAGAAATATGTTTGCGTTACCTCGCTTTAGTTTTATGATGCATCCTGCAATTTTGCATTTTTCAGCAACACCTTTCACATGCTCTATAGACAAAGACTGAGTTGCATGATGTTGTATTATTATGTAGTATGTAGTGTGATGGTTGCCATGGCTGTGTTCTTGTTGTCATGATTATGACAGTTACGCATTAGTTTATAAAACATGCAACACATAAACATGGTTTTGTTCAGAGAAGTGACATGGTTATGCTGGCGGAGCTTTGAAGCTACTCTATCAGTGAACTCCTGTGGTGTATTACTGTCCTAATACTGCCCAAGCTCAGCTATTTGAAAGGAATAATGAGTTATAAATGCATGATTAAAACAAATGTCACTCCATTCTTTCTATCTCTCGTGTAGTGTTCCCATAAAGTGACATTGTATCATAACCCACTAAATGTCCCCTGCAAGAAATATTGCGAGGGAATACAAAATTAGTTTAGTTTATTCCCACCATGATCTTTCAAGAGCTTCGTATGAAAGAGAGGAATACCCTTGATGATTTCATGAGACACTATATACAGTAGCGTAAACTAAATGCAAAAATGATGTTTGAATATGTTAAGGCGAGATTAAAAAGCAGTGTCAAGTCAAAATCAATAGAAATTATGGCAAAGTGATTCATTACATGGAGGGTACATTCTTATTAGTAAATATGCTTGACTTGACATGAATAATTAAAGCCAATGCATAGCCTGGATGCAAATGATTTGGCTGGGAGTGAAGCTACTTCATGTCTGTCACTATGAATCATTTACACCAAAGACAAACTGCTATGTTTATTATACTTGAAGCAAGCTGCTATACTCATTACAGGAAATGCAATAGGAAATCCAATATAGTTCAGCTATAAAGTTTCCACACAGTTATTGCAGTGAGTGTTCACAACAGGGATTTACGATGCTTGTAATGGATGAATGCCTTGCGGTGAGGTAAGAGAAATTATAAGGTGGCGATATGCATTTGTAATTACAGCCGGGCAACAATGCATCCGACTCCTTTCCTCCATTAGCTGATGTAAATATGTTTACTGACTGACCTAGAACGATATGCAATGTTGAAAGTGCAACATGTTTGAAAACTTAAAAATATCTTTTGGGGAAGTTAGACTTGATAAGACAAGTTTACATCAGAATAATTGCAATTAGTATAAGTGACTTCCTCTTCCCTACTTTGCATCCATAATTTAATTTAACTAAAAGTGTACAAGGACATCATATTAATAGGCATAATATGAATGCTTTAAAGGCTCCTGTGACGGGGTTCAATTCCTCCATTCGATACATGGCTTAGTCGGTTGTTTAAGCTCCAAACAAACTTTATTTATATCAGCAACAACAACAAAATAGCGAACCAGCACAAGTTAGACAACAAAATAAAATCCACAAACAGGCCGTCCATCACTCATTAGAGTAAACATGCTCTGGTTTGCCTTCTCTGCAACCAACTCCCAAACATGTCCCAACTGTTGCCTTCATTGCAACATTCTTCCGAGTGACACAGTCCGAAAAAATCCAAGGAACCAACACCGTCCCTTTTGACCCCATAGCCCCTCCCACAGGCTCACCGTCAACAGGTGACACAATCAACTCAAAACCACATTTCAACAAAATAATCCGACCCAAATATAAACAGGTTAACCACCTCTTAACATAATCATTCCCCATAATTAAACAAAAGTAAA